CAAAGATAAGATCAAACAAGCTACGGACATTACAACTCCTTGTCCTTGGAGGAAAAAGATGTCACCTTCTATATAAATAATTGGGAGAGAGGTGGTAAAGGCAAGATAACAACATGCTAACATTGGAAAAGAGAAAGAAAAAGAGAGAAAGTGTTTCTCTTCTAAAAGTTGGAGTTGTCGTATCCATCCTTCAAAAGCTCGAGTTGCCACAAAAACCCTAACCGATTTTCTTAGAAAGTAAATAAATTATACAAAAGGATTTAAGTTAGCACTCTATATTTTCTATTGCTTCCTTTATGGATGTTCAAGTTGCATGGATTATCGATAGAAGCTGGATACTTGACGACTCCTTTTTCTCGCAAAGGCTAAATCTATGCTACAAGAGATAATTTTTTACTCACATTTTTAATTCATGTATTTATGATTAGTTGATTCAACGAGTTTAATCTTGGGAGCCTTAGATGGAGGAAAATTTTTGTTTTATTACGCACCTCTATATGATGCATGATCCTTCATATGATTCCACCTTAATCGTAATTGATTTAGTATATCTTAATTCGCTAAGATGTTCTTAGCATGATACTTGTGTTAAGACTATATTAGATTCGATTTTAAATTGATGTGACTCATGATATCATGACTCGATAATAATTTCACACGATTCCACAATGAATTATAATTCATTTAATATCCAAAACGATCTCCATAAATAAAATGTAAGGAATTAAACCCCAAATTAATTGCAAAATTCACATTGACTTTACTTAGCAATAAAATCAAAAATAGGTTTTAGAAAATAATTTGGCAAATCATGATTTTTAGGAAATAACTAGGGAATAGAAACAAGTAAGGTAACTTGTCTTAGGAAAGAATATTTTTTTCAATGATTGCTATTTTTCCTTAAACATTACCAACTTCTTATTTAGACTCGGAACTAGTGTCATTTTTAGATTTTCTAGTCTTCTTAAAATATTATATGATGACTCCATGTTTTTAACTCCTTTTAATCTAAAAGTCTTACAATCAACAACATATTAAGATCGACACTATCTTGGGTAATACTTAAAATAAAACCTAAATCCATCCTATCAATTTCCTCATGAAGTATTGATTCCAACCTTATATCTCCTTAATAAATCCCTTGGTGGTATCATATTCCCGAAGTATCACACAACAGTGATTTTCAACACTTAAATATTCATAAAGCTCATATAAATTCATGGACATACTTAAAAAAATTAACCTAAAAATCAATAATCATGCCTAAAATAGATGAAATATACAAAGAATAGTTAAAAGTCACCTAGCAAAGTCAAAAAAATTGATGAAAGGATAATACTGATTTGATTCATTAGGTTTTGGCCACTACTACTAGCCAAAAAAAAAAAAAAAAAAAAAAAAAAAAAAAATCAAATTCTAACAACTCCTTTTGGAGTGTGCTCAGCTAGATCAAGTATCCTTATTTCTCTTCAACCCATTAATGAAAGTTTTGGATCCATATTTTTTCAGCAAGCTCAATTGATGGTGTTGAGGATGATTTCAAACTTAGAACTAGTCAAAACTATTGGGGAGAAGTCTGCTAATGCATCGTTGGTATGGAAATAAGTGACAAAGTTTTTGGAAAATCGTTAAAAATCACATAGAGAGTTTCTACTAAAATTATGTTTGACGTGTTTTGGCCATTTTTTGCTCGTTTTAAGGCTACTGTGGTTATGATTTGATGATTAAAGGGTTGCTACTACTATTGAGTTGGTTGGGTTGAACTGTTATGGTTTGAAAAAGAGAGAATAACAATTGGACGAGAGAAGGAGTTGTTGTCTAGAAAAATAAAGCTACTTCAATCAAACTTTCTAGGTTGTTTTGGGATTGTTTCCATTGATAAGGATGTTTAGATAGATCGACAACAACTTAGGGTCTCAATTTTAAGGGTCTTATATGGTGATGGTGGTCAAAATCTAATGATGATTGGTCAAAACCCGAATCAAGAAATAGAGAGGTTGTTGGTTGGATGTTTTTAGGGAGAGAGAGATGTAGCTAGACCAAGAAAAAGAGAGCGGGAAAAGTTGTTGAAATTTTTGTTGACTAGCAAAAGTGGTTGGAATACGATGAGTCACATCAACAATATCCATTCGTTAGTTTTTCTCACTTTGTTTGGTGACTTTTAACCATTCTTTGTATATTTCATCTAGTTTAGACATGATTATTGATTTTTAAATTAAGTTTCTTAAGTATGTTCATGTATTTATATGGATTTTATGAATATTGAAGTATTGGGAATCACCATTGTGTGATACGTTGAAAGTATGATATCGCGAGGGATTTACTAAAGAGGTATAAGGTCTGGACTCAATACTTTGCAAGGAAATTGAGAGGATGAATTTATTTTTTATTTTAAGTATTATTTGAGATAAGTTGTTGATCTCGATGTGTTGTTGATTATGAATGTTTGGGTGTGGTTATGATAAAATCGGTCGTTAATATGATCTTTGTGTTCAACAACATTGTCAATTGATTCAAAATCATGAAATTTCTATGAATTAACAAAATGATTTTATAGCTCTTTTCGGTTTTTTTTTTTTTTGATTGACCAACCATTGTCAATTTGCCTTTATTTTTTGTCAATCTATGTTGTCTCTACCAATGTGATTTTGTCTTATGTTTAATAAATAATTTCAAAATAAAAATATACATTTCCTTAGTGCTTTGTTGTGTTGCATGTGTTTGTATGTGTATGTAAGCATATCAATAGAGCCTTAAGGGATGGTCGACCGATAACAATATTACAAATATTGTTCATGTTTGGTTTCATCTAGTTTGGCATTTTCTATAGTTTTCTTGCATGTGCTATCAAATTCACATGCACCTATTTTTCTAATGATGGGTTTTCCATATTATTTAATTCATTCCCGAATAATTAGAGGTGTCTAACAAGTATGATGAGGACAATTGATAAATGATGCATGTGCGCATAAATATTTCTTTTGATTATTATTAAATGAGTTTAACTTCCAATTTCTCTTTGATTTGATAAACTTTAACAATTTGTGTTATGATCTTTTGATATTATTCTTTTATTCGAGATACATGTTTAACATTATTGGTTATGTATGGTTGTTAGTCACATACACATATATATCATTGTTCATGTATAATAGGAACTTAGAGTTGCTATGAGATTAATTCTCTTTTTTCTTCTTCTTTTTATCATTTTTCTCTCCTTTATCTTGCCAGGAAATATTTTATGAATGTAGAAATTTATATGTGAAAGAGGTAATTAAATCCAGTTGGTGTTTATGCACAATAGTTGACTCGAGAATACCTCGTTATAATTTGTTTTGTTATTTTTAAGGGGAAAAGGATAAAGTAAGGTTATCTTAGCTTTATTTATTTAATTTTTTAGTAGGCTTTATGCAAAATTTTCAATAACCACCCTCTATTATAAAATCAAAATAGTAAAACTAATAATTTATTATTACCGTTGCTAATAACCATCACGGATGCATTCTATATTTTGGTGTTATAATATACATGTTTGTCACCAAATTAAGGGTGGTGTAAATTTAACTAGTATTTCTTAATGGTTAATGGCTGTAGATGTTTTTCACCAAATAAAGTGTGGTATAAATATAATTAGTATTTCTTAAGGGTTAATGGTTGTAGGAGTAAATTATAAGTTAGTCACTCTCATTTGAAAAATAAATTAATTAGTATCTTTCATTTCAAAAACTAATAATTTAGTCTCCATATTTTGAAATCTACTTGTAATTTAGTCATTTTTTGTTCCTTTTTTATTTTTTTATTTTTTATTTTTTTAAGAAATAGAAAAAGGGGGAAATATGAAAAAAATATGGAAAGATTGATGAAAAAATAAGAGATTTCATGAAATAAAAAAATATTAAATTAAATATAGCCAATACTCGGTTAAAAGGCTAAATAATAGTTTTTAAAATGAGGAAAACTAGTTAATTTATTTCTTGAAACTAGATGGACTAATTTATAATTTACTCATGGTTATAATCGACTCTTTACCCTATATATATATATATATATATATATATATATTTTATTGTGTCTCCCTATTCTTTTTCCGTCTTGACTTCATTATTTTACATTTAGTTTTTGTCCGAATTTCATCTCTCCAATAACTTTTGAACTAACAACGTTAACTTGGTTTTTTTTTTTTTCGTTATAATTTACTTATTTTGATTTTATAAATTTCTTAATTTGATTTAAAAGTAAGAATATAAAAGTTATTACAAATTTTAGTCAAATTAAGAAATTTGTTAGTGTTGGGTCAAACACCGATAAAAATTTATATTTCTACTTTTTTGTCAAATTAAGAAATTTATAAAATAAAAATAAGTAAATTACAATAGACACGTTTGGGATATTACAAAATTATAAATATCATTCAAAATTTTAAAAATTTAATTAAAAATATCTTAATATTTTTTAAAAAATGCTATAAATATTTTATTTTATATTAAAAATTTGCTTATTATCATGGAGACAAATTTGTTCTTATAAAGGATATTTTAGATAAAAAATATTTTTTATTCGATTTTTAAAGATAATGATCGGATTAACTTTACTATTTTTATTTTTTATTTAAAATTTTAAAATTTAAGTATTTAAATTGGATAAAAAATACAAAATTAAGATATAAAAATAGAGTTGAGGAATATGATTAAGACAAAAAAAAAAAAAAAAAAAAAAAAACGCTGTATAAAAAAACGCTGTTGGTGCAGAAAATTAACAGAATGACCAAATTAAAACAAAAACTAAACGCTGAAGATAAAGTTAAGACGAAAAGGACGAGAGAGAGGTGACAGAGGGGGAAAAAATTGAGATACCAACATTAGCCCTATTTGTTAACAGTTGACGTTGACTGGTTCTTTCTTGTGCTCCTCTTCGACCATATAATCATCATCATCGTAGCTGCTTTATTGTCATCATCTTTCATATCTCTCTGTAATCGAGTGAGAAACAAAACAACAATAATGGGAAAGTCTTTCAAGGATGAGTTCACTTTCGGTTCGTTTGTTCTATCTTATTATTATTCATCTTTTCAATGTTCTTGTTCTCTTTTTAGCTAATATCTGTTCTGTAATTATTTATAGAGCAAAGACTGGAAGAATCACAAGATATCATCGCTAAGTACCCCCTTCGAGTTCCCGTAAGTCCCATTATTCTCAATCTTTAATTCCTTCTTTAACTTTTGCTGGAGATTTATTTTTTCTGTGAGCAATTTAATAACTTTTTCTTATTATATCTGAACTTTTTGAGTTTTTAAAGTTTTAATGTTGTTTTTTAATCTTTCTGCAGGTTGTCGTTGAAAGATATTGCAAAACTGACCTTCCTGAGATGGACAAGAAGAAGTAAGTTTCAATTTCGTTTTAGCTTTGGTTTATGTTTATTATATGTATTTGTCTTGCCTTTTAGTGATTCACACTCTTATTTATTTGCGGGTCACTGTCCAAGATTGAGTTTGTATCGACATCTGAGATCTCGTATGTGTTATTGATCAGACCTAGTTGAGATGATATGGTCTTTTTAAAACAAAATGTATTGAATTGATAACATGTATTCTAGTCGTCATCATTGGTAAAGAAATTGTATCTGCGGGTTTTTGTGTCAAATTATTGTATAATTTGTAGTTCCAATATGTTAATAACCTATTGGCATGATTGGAATTGATGGACAAATGGGGGCAGTAGGTCTGCACTCCTACTTGCAACCTGAAGAGCAGGGTTCCAACTTCCATGTATTGATTTAGGCTTCCACATATTAGAAGCTCTATAGAGTAAAATACCACTGGCCAATTATTGAAAGTGCTATTTAGAGTAGCTTTCAGAATTAGTGGATGGACAACATTAGAGTTGCCTTTGGGATTAGTGGGCAAAGTTATATGGTAAGGGCCTACCTTATGCACACTACATGTGAGACTTGTGGCATCACATTAGTTAGTCTTCTGATTGAGGAGAAAATTGATGATTAGATGGGATTGCTGCATTTAAAACCGCTGTAATCTGCAAATGTCTGGAGTTTAAACACTGTTATGAGTAACGAAGTGGTCAATTACTAATACTAAGTGACACGCTTTTGTTGTTATATTTCTGTCCTCTGATCTCCAATGTTGGCATGAAAGGCTGTGTTTTGGTATCCATGGGAAGCAATGTTGCATGGTTAGATAGGTCTCCAGTTTTCTGCTTTGCCTCTGAGAATATCATTCTTCGTGCTGCCTCTCCCGATGAGAGATGGGTTTTTGGAGGGAGGCCAAAGGGGCAGGAGGAGATGAATGGGTTAAAATAAGAGGAGAGCCATCCTTGTTGTATTGGGCATTGGGTAGAAAGGGTTTTATCAGTCGTAATTAGGTGTCACTGCAGTGTTTCTCGGGACAGATCTAATTGAATCTGTTGCAACTGATTGCTGCATGCTCATAGAGGAATAATCTTCTTGTATGAAATCACTTTGGAGTCAATCCTTTCCAGGCAACTGTAGCCTTTGCAGGATCTCATTGAATCTATGCTTTCCTTCTCATGGTGATTGAGTTGTTAGGTATGCTTATCTTATAAATGTTGCATACACATAGTACTTTCTCACTCACAAGTAATAAATAAATAACTTGGTTTATATATCTCCTTTGCAAGATCTCATTTATTTCTTTCATTTTTTCCTTTCTTAGATATCTGGTTCCTCGAGACATGTCTGTTGGACAATTCATTCACATTTTAAGCAGCAGGCTTCATTTGACACCTGGGAAAGCCCTCTTTGTGTTCGTCAAGGATACCTTACCTCAAACAGGTCAACTTACAATTCACTACTATTCAGCTTTGAAAGTCTGTTGCATGATTTTTCCTCCATGATACTCTGCTAATATCTGGTACCCATAACTTTTTCCTGCAGCTGCTCTAATGGAGTCTGTTTATGAATCCCTGAAGGACGAGGATGGATTTCTATATATGTGTTATAGCAGTGAAAAAACCTTTGGTCATACCGTTCCAATTTGTTAACAATTGTATTTCGTGGTGCATTCCTCCATTGTGGATCAGTGCTTAAAACTCCCCCTCATTGCTGCATGAACTTGTTACTGTTGCATCTGTAAATACTATGAGAATCTGTCATGTATACTGTGTTCTGTCAAAGTGAAAAAATGTCTTATCATGTGAACCTGAGAAATTATTCTATTTCCTCACACTCACTCATGGAATGTTAATGAGCCAAGTGTAGATTGGCCTTCAAGAGTCATGACTATTGCAGAAATGGAAACCATTTCCCAACTGAAGTCATCCAAATGGTTGTGGTTTTTCAGTGTGATCGTAATTCAATTATTTTTTGGTCAAGGTATTCTTGGGCCGTATCGAAACTAAATCCCTTTCTAGTTTTATACGCAACTCATCTATGTCCATGTATATAAGAAGTATTTCACAACCTTTTAATGATTTTTCGAGTGTAGATAATAACGTGAAAGCTGGAAGGATCGCAATTCATTTGTGCTTCATGAATTCCTCCTTGTTCTATCATTTTTTTATAGCAAGTAAATGATTTTGCCTTTAGAAAGCATGCAAAATGATTGACCTCCAAGGGCAGAGCAGGAATTATCAGACGTTTATTTAGTTATTTTTATTTTTTTGACAATAAGTGTTTATTCTGTTTTTATATTTTAAAATAAGCTAATTAGCTTGTTATATAAGCTAGTTTTTTGATCCATTTTTCTAATTTAGTTATTCGAGCAAATCACTTTTTTTAGTTCCTTTTTTCTTCCTCTTCCTCCTCTCTCCACCATGGCCACCACCTTCTTCTTCCTCCTTTGTCCTGCCATTGCTCTCGAGAAAAACAGCCAAGTGGCTGCTGCAAATGAGAACAGCAGTGCTCCTACTGCAAACAAAGCTGGCCTTATTTGCCTTTCTGCTTTTGAATTCGGTTTCTTTTGTTTTGATATATTGTGTGTTTGATGACGCGACCGATCTTTTATTGCTGTCTGAATTCTAAGTTTGATTTCTTTTCGCTTCCTAATTTTGTGCTTCTTGCATTAATTATTTTCTAGTTAGTTTTGTATTCTCCTTTTAAATTAATGTTCATCAATCGACTTCTGGTTGGATTTTTTTTCCTTTCAAGTGGTTGATGTCTGCTCTTCTCTAAGGCAATAGGCGGGAGAGAGGAGGAAGAAAAAGGTGGCAGCCACGGAAAGAGGTAGAAAAACAAAAAGAAAAAAGAAAAAAAAAATGACATGAGGGGTAAAATTTCATGTGCAAGGTACATGATTTTTTTAAAAGTAATTTGACCAAAAATATTAACTAGAAAAACATATAGAAAACTTGCTTAAATAATAAAGATATAATTGGTTTATTTTATAATATAAAAATAGATTAAAAACTCAAACCATTATATAAGGATAAATTATATCATTTTCTAAAAATTCAAATTAAAATCTACTTCACCTAATAAAAAGACTAATTTTTTACCTTGAATTTTATTTAAAAACTCGTTTACACTAAATAATTTATTGATAAATTTTTTATGTTTGGGCCTTATACATCTCACTCTTTAAAAATCTACCTCGGACATTATTTATTTGTTTATTTTAATAAGGAAGAAGAAAAATTTGAAACTGGATCCCTGCATGCCAAACAGGTGCTAAAAGTGGCCCCTGGGCCTTGGATAGAGACCCAATCCAATTCAAATTATTGTGAAATAAGTTTTGTTTTCTCTTTAGTAGTCCACAAGAAACGACAGAAACGCAAGCAAGAGAGGCCGAAACGTCAAGAAAATAAGACAAACAAGTAAAACGCACGGTGAAGATGAGTCATTGTCCGCAGTCATAATAGGTCTTAGAGAACGAGTCAAATAAATAGTAATAACGTTATAGTAAACTATCATTTTGTTTTATATATTTTTTTGTTAATATATACAATGTTTTTAGTTTTAATGGGTAGAAAAAAGAAGAAAAAATCTTAATTGAGATAAGTAATTTGTTGTGCCCACCTAAGCCTCCAACTCTTATTAATTTGTTTGTTCCTATGTGCACGTTAATTTCTATTTTTTTTTTAATTGAATGGAGAGTTTATAGGGGAAAAAAAAGTCTAGATGAAAGTTACTCAATACAAAAGTGAGAAATTATAGAAAAAATCTAGTAGCTCGATTCAATTTTCTTAATTAATCTAATAAGGAAAAACTCATTTTTTTTAAAGAGTTTTGTCATATATTTTATCATCTTATCATAAATTTTTCCACCACATCATTACCCCCCGGGATATTACTTTAATTGATGATACAATACTTCATCATACATCATAATATTATAATATAATATTTTTTACATGTTACATAAAATGAAAAAAAGAATACAAAAACAAATTGAAAGGTTATTGAAAATGATAGAATTACCCCCGAACAATCTTTAAAATTACCAAAATGCCTTTTGGTGTTAAAATTACAAATTCATCTTTAGTGTAAAAAAGGACATATCTACTAGTGTGAAATTACACATTTTCCCCTAGGTCAAGAAATGACAAAATTGCCCCTGAAATACTCGAATATTCTAACCGTCGTTGTTCACTCCTCTAAGTACCATTTGGCATATGGATGGTGGGGTTGGTTTTGTCTTAGCCTCCCCTTCCTATCGGTGGTGACGGTGCTTGGCCATCACTTTCGATAGAGGAAGATCGACGATGCTTGAAGATTTAGCCTTGTCTTTTTTATTTTACGGACTTTAATTCTAACGATAAGGGTGAACTTTGAGGATTGAAATCAAACCAGATCTACCTTTAAGACATGATGGATCTTTGTTTTATTAGCTAGATGGTTTAATTTGGCTAAAAAATAAAGGATATCATAGGTCTTAGTTGTGGTTACACGAGTCATAGGTCGTTTTCCTCCTTCTCTCGTCATTTTTCGTCATTATCACGAGTGGGAGAAGGAGTGCTAGACAACGAGCACATGTTTTTGTTGATATTTTGGCCTTTGATTTGGCTAGAAAGTGGCCAAATTGGGAGAAAGACTCGTTGCCAAGTCTAGCAAGTTTGGCTTGTTGGCGGATCACAAGTTTAGGTTATTTTAAAGAATTGTTTGGCTTTTGTTTTTTGTTTTTTAGGGTGGGTGGCTTTTCTTTCTTCTTTTGTGTGTATGTGTATATGTGTGAAAGAGAGGTATCTATGGGGATTTTTAAGGTTGGGGTTAATTTTATTTTGGTCTCTCATTTCCCATTATTCTCCCTTTTAATCTTCAATTTTTTTTCGATTGCACCCTCAATTGAACTTCTTTGGTCCTCATTTTTTTATTTTCTTTAATTTGTGCCTCGATTTTTCTTCTCTTTTTTGTTGATTTTCTTTCTTTCTTTCTCATTTTTTTTAGTCGCTCATTGTTTTCCTTATATTTTTTATACTTGATTATTTTTTTCAACACTCACAAAATTCATAAAAATCATAACAAACTTAGAAAAGCTGCTAAAAATTTGAAAAATTAGAGAAATTGAATAAAATGATCCTTTTTGGCATTTGTATTTTTTTTTAATATTTTTAATAAATAATGAGTCAAAATTAGGTGCTAGCAATTATCTTATTATTATTGTTCTTTTACAATGCTTATGACACGAGTTATTGAAAAATAATCTTCTTTGATTTTGCATAGTAAGCTTGTAAAAAAGATCAAAAGCGAAAAAATGAAAGAAAGAAACAAATGAAATTCAAGAAAAGAAATCAAATAGTAAGATCACATCACAAATGACTATTCTTAATGTGGGTGACCATCTTTGAGATCAAACAAGTGAGCTTTCCCTAGATATAGGCTAATACGGATAACCATCTCCAAGGTCAAAGCATGTAATCTTCCCCTTAGACATAGGCTAATATGGGTAACCATCTTTGAGATAAAAACAAATGAAATTTGCCTAAATATAGGCTAGTATGGGTAACCTTCTCTAAGATCGGAACAAATGACCTTCCCTGGACATGGGCTAATACGAGTAATCATTCCCGAGGTCAAAATAAGTGACCTTCTCCTAGACATAAGTTAATATAGGTAACCATCCTCGAGGCTAAAATAGGTAATGTTTTCCTAGACATGGGCTAATGCGGGTGACTATCTTCAAAGTTAGAACAAGTGACTTTTCCTAGATACAAGCTAATATGTGTAACCATCTTTGCGGTTAAAATAGGTGACCTTCCTTTAGACATATGTTAATACGGGTAACAATCTTCGAAATCAAAATAGGTGACCTTTTCCTAAACATAGGCTAATACGGGTAACCATCTTTAAGATAAAAAAGGTAATATTTAGTTAAATATAAGCTAATAAGAATAACCATCCTCAAGATAAAAATAGGTGATCTTCCCTTAAATATAGGCTAGTATGGGTAACCATCTTTGAGGTCAAAACAGGTGACCTTCTCCTAAATATAAGCTAGCATGGATGACTATTCTCGAGGTTAAAACATGTGACCTTCCTCTAAACATAGACTAGTATGGGTAACAATCTTCAAAGTAAAAATAGGTGAACTTCTCCTAAACATAAGCTAATACAAGTAACCATTCTCGAGGCCGGAATAGGTGAACTTCCTCTAGACATAGGCTAATATAGATAACCATCTTTAAGGTCAAAACAAGTGACCTTCCCTTAGACATAGGCTAATATGGGTAACCATTTTGGAGATCAAAATATGTGACTTTCCCCTAGATATAGGCTAATAAGGGTAACCATTCCCAAGGTCAAAATAGGTGATGTTTCCCGATTTTAAAAACCATGTGGAACCTATGGCTATAATTTAAAAATGACATGACTCAATAATCACGATTTGTCAAAAGCAATTAAAATAATTTTAAAACCATGTGGAACCAGTTTCCATGGTTTAAAATCATTAGTTATGATTTCTCTAAAGCAACTAAAGTAATTTTAAGACCATGTAGAGCCGGTTGCTATGGTTAAAAAATGGCGAGACCTAACAATCATGATTTCTTGAAAGAAATTAAAGCAATTTTTAGACTCGTGCAAAACTAGTCTCTATGGTTTAAAAATG